TTCTCCAGTTCTCCATGTAGCAGTGCTTGTTGCTGCCACAAAGCAAGTCTGGGAGCTGGGGGAGGGGGAGCGTTGTGGCAGAAGGACAGACAGCCGACAGAAGGACTGGCCGCCTGATAGGGAAAGGAGCAACATTTAGTGAACACCAACATTCATCCTGCCGTTGCTGGCTCTCCAGGCCTGACCAGCACAACCTGTCCACGTGGCAAAGTGTATTGCTGACAGCACTACGGGCTCCACCACGGCGGTGAGGAAGGTGGGTGTTTATGAAGAAAGACAAATTGTGTTCTGAAGCCTTTCAGTGCAGGATAGAAGGTGGGGGTGATCAGGACGGGATCAGCGTTGGAAACTACGGCAAGGAGAAGATTTGCGGAAGGGACTCAAAGGCCAGCAGTTTACGGATGGGTTCTCTTGATGAGTGGGTTGGGGACTTTCATGAAGTCCTCATAGTGAACAGTCCATCTGTCTGCTTGGGCCAGGAAGGCTGGGAAGAGAAACACGGGATGGCACCATCACGGCAATGTGGAGAGGAAGGTGTGGTTTCAGGGGACGCAGGTGCCCAGGTCAACCGCCAGGTAGACCCTTTAGGCTCTCAGTGACTGCTGTGTGCCCGGGAGGAGGGCTCATAGTCATTGCATTGCAGATGAGGAATCCAAGGGGCTGCTGACCTAAGGCCACATGGTGGGGCTGCAGAGGGAGCACGGAGAGGAGGGGTCCAGGTCCTCAGACCTGTCAGTGACTGGGGCTTGGGCAAGAGAGAGAGAGCCAGTCCAGAGATGGACGATGGCGATGTTCGGATAGAAGAGTTCCCTTGGAGGAGGACACCATGAGCATCACTGGGTACGTGGAAGGGGACGGCTCCCATTGGACCATGTTACCTTAGGGGTGCTTGAAGATTTGTGAGGAACGGGGAGGGAAACAAGGCTCACCGTGTGCCAGGCAGGGAGCCAGGTGCCCTACCTACATCATCCCCTTGGTGCAGGGAAGGAATGATTTCTTGTCCTCCTCCACCACTAGATCCATGGCTGAGACAACGACAACAAAAAATAGATTAACCCAAGATCGATAAGAAGAAACGAGGCTGGGGGCAGTGAAGCTAGTTTACGTGTTTTCTCATACAACAGCTATTTCCTTAGATACTTAAGCAAGTCCCTCTATAGAGGGATGCAAATCGTTTTCCTAAAGTTGTTTCTAACAGTAAATAAAAGCAACTCATTTTCACATTAAAAAAGAGATAGATTAAGAGAAAAGCACGTTTATTTAATATTATTTTGTTGTTGTTGTTACTGGGGATTGAACCCAGGAGCACTTTACCAGTGAGCTACATCCTTGGGCGTTTCGATTTCTTATTTTGAGACAGGGTCTCACTCAGATGCTGAGGCTGGCCTCAAACTTGTAATCCTCATGCCTCAGCCTCCTGAGTTGCTGGGATTATAGGTGTGCACCGTCATGCCCAGCTTATTTAATATAAATTGTACATGACGTGGGAGCCTTCAATAATGATGATCCAAAGAAACAGGGAAACCTGTATATTTTTAATGCAAAGTTTGATGAAGAGCTCTATAATTGTGGAGAAGTATGATCGGACAAAGGCTGTATGAGATAATAGTAATGAACTGAGGGGAATCTAGCAAACTTGTTTGTTTTAAGTCTTCTCTGTATCTTCAAAGATGAGGATGTGCCTTCTCTCTATATATAGGGAAGGTAGCTTTCAAATGAGGGTTTTATAACATACTTCAGAGGGGAAGGGTCAGTGACCTTCCTAGGTCTTATGTCTGCTGGAAGGGAGAAGGACAGGGTTTGGTGAGGCCCTTCTACTTCTGCTTTCTCAAATGCCAACATGCCATATTTGGGGGGTAGCACATCCTAAACCCTCTTTGTAGATACAATCATCCTCTCCTTACAGGTGAGGTAACAGGCTGAGAAAGACAAGAGGTGTGTCAGGCTCACACAGAGCCCAGGGTGCTGGAGCAGGGATTCCAACACAGTCTGAGGACAGAAAGCCTATATACTCAGTTCCTCATTTCCCTGGAATTTGCTTTTTGCCTGTGGAGGAAGTAGAAAGAGGCAAAGTCCTGAGCTTCTCATCAGAGATCAGGCAGAGCCAAGGGGCCCTGCCTTCAGGCTGGTCTCTGAAACATTGTCCGGTATCACTGGACTCAGCTGGAAGGAAACATACAGACTCCTGCTCACAGGGGTGGCCGCACAGGAGGCCCTGGCCAGCCAGCTGCCTAGTAAATGAGATTTCCAGCTGGTAGATGCTGGGGGCCATCGCTGCTCTTAGAGTCCAGGACCTGGCCAGTGCTCTCTCCCTCATCCACAGGCTAAGGCTGTGGATCCTGTCCTCGGTAGCAGCCATATTGCTAGAGGGTAGAGGAATCCCAGGAAGACTTTGAGCTTTGGCAGAGAAGGTGAGGTGGAAGCTTCAGGGTGGTCACCTGACCTCCACTGTGCCCCAGGGGCCACATGTGCTGAGCTGGCCTGTCCCTCCCCCATCCATTCCTGAATTTCCTTCGAAGCAGGGGCTTCAGGTCAATGTCTTTGGCCCTCCCAGCATTGGCCTGGCCTCGGGGCTGCCTACGAGGTGGGGCAAGGCAGAGAAGAGGACTGTGCTTCCTTCTCTCAGCAAACCTGTTCAAGGGACATCAAGGGATGTTAAGCTTGAGCCCCTGGACAAGGGTCCACCAGCAGAATGGGGTTCCTCTGAGCTTGGGTATCCTCATTAGAAGCACAGACAATAAAGTCTGAGAGGCACAGACCCCTGGATTGGTTCATGGGCTGAAGCCTATGGCATAGAATCCAGATGGTGGCAGATGACAGGTCTCTGCTGGTGAGAGAAGCTGAGGCTCAGAAATGGTCCTCTCAGTCTCTGGGACATTGGCTTTGAACAGCCTTATCTCCTCTTGTCCTTCAGGTGCCCTCTGTAGAATCTCCCCACACTTCCCTTCCTGGGCCAACCCTCAGGCTCCTCCCAGCCAGGTGTTGGTTTTTCTTATTTCCTCCAAGTGTTTATGTCCAAAAGCAGAGCTCTTCCCCAGACACATGCGCTTCCATCTCCTCCCTCAAATTCCTCAAGCGGTTGGCACAGACAGTGCCCACCAGAGCTACACAAATGGCCAAGAGGCCCGTGAAAAGACGCTCACCATCAGTAGCCAAACCACACAGAAGACACCATGCCACTCCTACTAGATGGCTATCAGTGGAAGGACAGACAGTGACAAGTGTTAACAGAGGTATAGAAAAATTGGCACCATCATAGATTGCTGGCAGGAATGTAAAATGGGGCAGCCACTGTGGAAAACAGTTCTGTGGGTCCTCAAACAGTTCAACATAGAACTACCATACAACCCAGTGATTGCACTCCTAGTTATAGACCCAAGAGGACTGAACATGTATGTCACCGGAAATGTTGGTACATGAATCCTTATAATCTCTGAAACAACCCAGGTGTTCATCAACCGATTACTGAATAAACTGATTTATGCCCGCGACGGAGTACTATTCAGTCATAAAAAGGAATGAAGCACTGATACAAGTTATAACAGAGACCAACCTTGAAGACACTATGTTAAGAAGCCAGTCACAAAAGGCCACATGTTGTACAATTTCATTGTATTAAACATCAGAGCAGGCAAACCCATAGGGACAGAAAGTGGATTAGTGGTTGCTGGGTCTGTAGGTTGGGAGAAATGGGGAGCAGCTGCTAATGATATGGGGCTTCCTACTGGGGTAATAAAATGTTCTGCAATTAGATAGCATTGATGGTTGTGCAGCTTTGTGAATATAGTAAAAACCAGTGGAGTGTTAACTTCTGAAGAGTGGATTTTATGACATGGGAATTAAATCTCAATGTTTAAAAAGAGTCCTCGGGCTCCCAGGTACCTTGTGTGAGGGGCACAAAACCTGGTTCTGGGCCTCGGTAGCCCTCCCCAAGTTGGTCTTCCAAGGCTGGAGACCGGGTGGGAGGCAGTCCCTGGGGCCAGAGTGTCCTCAGGTCAGCTTCCAGGTTTCAGAAGCCTGTTGAATGAGGGGAAGCTGCTGCCTGCTGTGGGAGGGGCGGGAAACAATGCAGGGCCCTCCTGCAGGAAGTGGAGACTCCGAGGGGAGGGTGGGAGGCCTGGGCTGCCAGGAGAGGCAGGTGGTCTCCATCTAAACGGCCAGGCTGTCTCCCAAGACTGGACTTCCGGGCTCCCCATGAAGAGTCGAGTCAGGAGAGCCTAGGGGTGCCTCTGAGGGCCATCTGGCTGCTCTCAGTGTGAGAATGGGATGCTGACATGGTTGCCATAGTTACCATGGGAGGAAAGTCAACAAGAGCAATGGAGCCCAAGGGGCCAAGACAGCTCTGCCTTCTGAGTCATCGTCCCACTTGGTCTCTGTTTGTCCAGAAGGGGGTTAAATGGGATGAGCTCTGATGGTCCTTTCAGCACTGACCAGGTTTAATGGCATGATCCAGGGAGTGGACTGGTTAGCTCTGACCACATGCAGGGTGGGACCATGGAGGGGGGTTGGTATCTGTTCCAAAATACACCCAAGCCTTTATTCCCTGACTCTGAGCCAAGCCTTGACCCCACACTTGACCCCAGACCCCTGGTCCTGGACTGAGCCAGACCCACCCAAGCCCAGATTCAGCCTGCAAGAAGACAGACAGAGTGCCTTAGCTGGAAGCCCAAGGTGGCTGAGACCCTGTGGCTCATCCTGCGATGAGACAGGGCCACTGCTCAAGGGTGTGCTGTGTGCAGAGCTCTGCAGCCTCTCCTCAGAAGGGAGGTTTATGCTGGGAACAGTGAGGGTGTAGAGGAGACGGTCCTCAGTGAGATCTGGCTCACAACACATGGCACACGCCCCCTCTTAGGAAGGTCCCTTCCAGCACTAGGAGCCAGGGAGGCTGAGAGTGCTCTGGTTCTCAGATTCCCACCAACCTCCAAAGTCCCTTCCCCCTGAAACTGAGGTCAGGGCCATTCTCTGGAATTTCATCTCACCCCCTGGCTGTTGTCCCACAGGGCCAGCAGGCGAGGGGCCCCAGATGCCAGACAAGGACAGCAAGGCCACCATGGACACAGAAGACACATATGGAGGCAAAGCCAGCTCAGAGCCTCAGAACTTGAGACCTCGTGTGTTTCACAGCATCAAGGTACCTCTCTGGCCAGGCGGGGCCGGGCCTCCAGCCCTGCAGGTTGGGCTGTGTAATGAGGCCAGTTTCTGCCTTCCTCTGTTTCCTCACCTGGAGGGCCCTTGGTTGTGAGGATCTAGGGGACAATTTCTGAAAACACTTTTTAGCTTGGATTTGGGTTCATAGACAGTGTCCAGAACATGTCCTTTCCTACCAGCGATGAAAGAGGGGTTGTCCTGTGGACAGTGGAGGACCAGGACACTCGCCTCCTGTTTCTCTAGAGAAACGAAGTGCCCAAGGAGGCCTGGCTCCACAAGGGTGGCACTAATCATCCAGCATCACTGTCACTGACACCTACTGGGTGTCAGACCCTGTGCCAGGTGGTATTCGTGCATGATTTTTCGTTTTTGGAATCCCGGGGTGCTCTACCATTGAGCTATTTCCTCTGGCCCTTTTATTTTTTATTTTGAGAGAGACTCACTGAGTTGCTCAGGCTGACCTTGAACTTGCTATCTTCCTGCCTCAGCCTTCCTGAGTAGCCAGGATTATAGGTGTGCACCACCACATGCGGCTTGAAGTGAATAGATTAAGCTCTGACATGAATACTCTATTTTTTAATTCTTTGAAGCAAGTTTTCTTGGGAATTCTGCCAGTTTTTTAGCAGGAGGAGCACAGACAGACCAGGATGTTTAGGGTGGGGTAGGATCGGGTGGCTTGGGGATTCAGTGTGTGTGGGTGGTCGCCAGTGCAGTAGCTCTAGGGAGAACTGAGTAACAGTGGGGTGGGAAAGGAGATGGGCCAATTTGGGAGAGTTTACAGGAAAGGGGCAGGGTGGTAAAACAGGGAGGAAGGTCCAGGTCGGTGTGAGCGGATCTCTAAGGGTCAAGAGGGCCCCCACCATTCCCGGCCCTGTGGAGACTCCACTCTGAGTCACATGGATCTCTGGTAGCCCTTAGACCCCAGGACAGTTTGTGTAGTTTTGAGGCCTATGTGAGATGGCTTGGGCTATTCTAATAACTAACTAAGTACCCCCCACTCCCACCCCACCCCCACCTGCACATTCCCTCCCCACCCTGACACATCCACTTCCGTCTCTGTCTCCTTTCTCTTCTCTCTCCCTCCCTTTCTGTCCACCTGGGTGTGGCCTCCTCTGACTCTGATTCCCCCATCCCTACCCCTTCATTCATCCTCTCCCGTCCTCATCCTCCTCTGTTCCATCCCTCTGTCTCCCCGCCACCTCCCGTCTCTGATTGTATCCTCCGCTGTCTCCCGGTCCCTCCACCCGTGGCCATCTCTGTGTTCCTCCTGCAGTTCTTCGTCCTGTGCCACAGCCTGCTGCAGCTGGCACAGCTCATGATCTCCGGCTACCTCAAGAGCTCCATCTCCACGGTGGAGAAGCGCTTTGGCCTCTCCAGCCAGACCTCGGGGCTGCTGGCCGCCTTCAACGAGGTATTGGCCCTGGCCCAGCCACAGGGGTGGACCCCAAAGGAGGCTCACACCCCTAGATTCCACCAACCTCCTCTATTACTACTCTTTCCTTCCCAGGCCTAGGGCAGCCCCCCAACACTGCCCTCCCTGAAACCCTCCTTAGCTTTCCCCTCCCACTTTGTCCTGGCCCAGAAACTGGCCAGCCATAGTGCAGACAGAGCAGGCCCCTCCTGCCCCCAACCGTCATCCTGTTTGCAGCTGTTCTCTAAGACCCTGCAGCCTTGCCCTTAGGAGCACTTGGCTGGAGGGCACCAGATGTTTTAGAGCGAGGCAGGGTCCCCAACCCATCCACTCATCTTTGGCCTCCTTTACTTTCTCAGACACCTAGCTATTGGCTGTCCCAAGAAGGAATTCGAGAAAGTCACTTCTATTGTCTCCAGAGAGGCTTTCGTTACAGCCAGGGAACTCTCTGACCTTGGAGTGTGGCAGGGTGATGCCTTGGAGGAGTGTCTGTCCTCAGAGTTGTCCTGGGAGCAGCAGACAGGCCTCTGCCTGCAGCCCACAGCCAGACAGGAGGAGTGGATAGCTGCTCTGGTGGATTAGGAGATCAGATTCCAGCTGTGCCCAGCCCTCCACCCCAACAGATGTTTCACCCTCAGAGAAGGAATCAGTCTCTTTCCACCCCTCCCCTGCAGATTTCTGTGAAATTCCCTCCCTTAGGTACTGTGTCATATTCCTCCGGACCTAAAGCCTTCCAGCTGCAGTGTCCCAGAATGTGCCTCAGCACCCCACCCCCAAATCTCAGAAGGGAAAGGCAGTTCATCCATAAAATGGACAATGACCGTCCTTCCCAGGGCCAGTTCCACCAACAACCTGTGCTGATATGGCCCCACTCCCCTGCCCCCCGGACCCTGGAGCTTGCCCACAGTCACTGGCCAGGAAGTGGGGGGGCAAAGGTACACCTTCCCTTGCAATCTCACAGATCCTTTCTAAAATATATTTATTTGTTTGTTTGTTCATTTATGCAGTACTAAGGATTGAACCCAGATTGTTTTACCACTGAAATACAGCTCCAGCCCTTGTAATTTTTATTTTAGGGCAGGGTCTTGTTAAGTTGCCCATGCAAGTTCATAATTCATAATTCATTCAAATTCATAATCCTCCTGCCTCAGCCTCCTGAGTCACTGGGATTACAGGCGTGAGCCCACACACCTGGCCACAAGTCCCCTCTAGCATAGCACCCTACGATTGTGATTTAAAGGTTGGAAATTCCAAGCCTTAATTCTCTGGCTTCAGACTTTCTCTGTTGAGTCTCTCATTCATGAAGTCCTGAAGCTCAAAATCAAAAATTTTTCTCCACTGCCCATTCTCCTCCGTGTTCCTAAATGAAATTGATCTTCTAGCTTTGTGCTCATTTCTCTTCCTTAAAGGGGCAGCGAGATCCTTCCTAGGAGGACCCAGAATCTATGTTTATAAGAGAGATCAAAATAATGCTTATTCATCCAGCCAGTCCATTACACAGATAGGAACATGGAGGTGCAGGCCCTTGCCTCTGGGTCTGGTGCTCCACTCTGATGGGTCACCTCATCCCTTTGCAGGTGGGGAACACAGCCTTGATTGTGTTTGTGAGCTACTTCGGCAGCCGAGTGCACCGGCCCCGTATGATTGGCTGTGGGGCTGTCCTGGTGGCCCTGGCAGGCCTGCTGATGACTCTCCCGCACTTCATCTCGGAGCCATACCGCTATGACCACAGCAGCCCTGGTAAGAGCCAGAGGGGCAGGGCAGGAGACCAACATGAGGCATGACAGTCCTGTGCACCAGGGCCCATCTGCAGGCTCACGTTAGGCAAGATGGGTCCCCACTTCCCAGTCCTCTCCATCCACCCCCACTGTCTCCCTAGGCCTGGGTGGGTGTCTCTGGCAGGCCTGGGGAGGGAAGCAGGGGGTAGCCCCAGGGTAAAGGGGTGAACCCTTGCAGGCCTTTCTTGGTCAGGGCGGGCTCATACCCCTGTAGCTTATTTGAGGTAGGGGCCAATTTACCATGCAGCCTACTTTAGGGCCTGGCATATTGTTGGTGCTCAGAAATACTTGTAGAAATTAACAGTATCCCACAGCAGCTCCTCTCCACTGGACACCAGTCTAAGCACTTTCTGTGTATTCGTGCATTTGATCCCCACAAGACAGTGGTGAAAGAAAGAAGGAATGAGTGAGAGAACAAATAAGAAAATGAAAGAGTTTAAGTCAGGAATAGCGGCACCTTGTTCAACCCAGTGGGATTTTGTTGTGGGCTTCCTTAACAGACAGACACCTGTCTCTTAGAGAACCACCAAAGCAGCTGAGCATTCGCTCCATCCCTTCCCACTCTCCTGCTCACCGCCTGCTCATCCACCTATCCACCCTCCTGCTCATCTACTTGCGCATCCATCCTCCCACCTACCCACAAACCCAGCCACCCAGCCAACCAGAAGTGCCCGTAATAGAACTTCCGTGCTGCCTACTCTGGGGGACTCAGTCCTTGCCCCCAGCGAGCTCCCAGTCTGGGAAAGAGACAGACAAATATAAAGCCCAATGTGTCAGTTGTGTGGGGAGAGAGACACAGGGATGCAGGGAGGCCAGGGAGGGAGCCATGCCCTTGCCAAGCATCAGGAAGTTCCCCAGGGCAGGAGAGCTGTCGGAGAACACCCGTCCTCCCTTGCCTCCCTAGCAGCCCTCACCTCTGGAGCTGCTAAGCCCAGGGATGAGAAGATGAAGCAGACATGCCCCAGTTCAGTGCGGGTTGGGGTCAGCGTGGACGATTCTGCTACAAGGTCCAGAGCCCAGCACCTTAGGAGACGTTGGGAGGGAGCCATTAGAAGTCTAGGTTGAGGAAAGACATTCCCAGCTGGAGGGAGCTGCCAGGAGGTGGGCTGTGGCTGCCCTGGAGAAAAGGTGGGCATTGCAGGAGGAGGGCGGGACGTGGGCAGGGCCAGAGAAGTGGGGAATTAGAGTGCACCTGAAGCATGTGGGTGGTTATCCAGGCCTGATGGACAGTTACCTATAGGACTTCTTGGAAGGCTGAAAAATAATACTTCCATGCATTTCTTTGCTGAGAATTTCCACTTTAACACAGCTTTTCTGTGCAGGGTCACGCAGTTGGCTGAACAAGTGGGCGAGACTCATGATCTCTGAGCCCCCTTCCTGTTGGAACACTCCTGGCTACTTCATTCATCTTTCCACCTTCCTCTAGTATTTATGTTGCTCAGTATTATGTGGCAGGCCATCTGTGAGCCACTGGAGACTCAGGGGTGGGAAAGGCAAATACAATCTTTAGAATAATCACCATTATCTAATGTCCAGTAGACGCCGGGGAGGGGGGCACCACTCTCCCCGAGAGGCAGGTGTCATCATTATTTCTTCACCAGTGGGGACACTGAGGTTCAGAGAAGAGAAGCTCCCTGGCCCACAGCTAGTCAACTGTGCCCAGAGCCCTGCTCTGAACTCCCGAATTATTCTGCTTTTGAGTCCTTCATCTCTAGAGAATCAGTTCTAGGAGATCCATTTCAGAGGTGAGGAGCAGAGGGATCTCATCCACGTCACACAGCAAGGCCGGGGCAGCCTCTGATAGAGGCCTGGATCCATGGCTCTTTCCAGTTTGAGGGAGTGGCCCTTGGAGTCCTGGATCCCACAAAAGGAAGTCTGCAGAGAGAGGGCCATATTTATACCAAAAAACCTGAGATAATAATAGTGTGAAGATCTCCTCAAGTTTGCTCACCAAATATTGGTGAGCTACAGGGAACAGGCATCTGGTACTAAATTAAGAACTTGTCCTTTCCTGCACTCCGCATCTGTGTCCTGAGCTGACAGTGCTCCCTCCCCAGAATGAGTGACAAGGGCACTGCCTTCCCTGCCTGGCCCTGTCAGAAGCCCTGGTCTGGCCCCTCACACTTCATGATCCACTGTTCCAAACTTCTCATTCTACTGACACGGAGTCCTCACGCGGCTCAGGGTTTTGCCTGTACCGTGACCTGTCCCTGGAACACTGCCCTTCCCTCTCTTTTTGGAAAATCCTGTTTGTTTGTTCTTCTGGACTTAAAAACTCTACCTCTTTTGACCTCTTCACCCCACCATTGCATGGCTCTTCCAGATGCCTCTGCTTACAAAGTTGACACAGGGCAGTTTGAGGTCAGGGGCTCTGAAGTCAGAGCACCAGGGGTCCTGTCCTTCCTCTGACCCTTGCTGATTGCTGTCTGAGCTTCAGTTTCCTCGTGTGTGAAATGGGGTACTGAGCGCACCTGTACCCTAGGTTTGCCAGGGGATCAAATGATTGGTATAAAGTGCCTACAACAGTGATTTGCGAAAGTCTGGTAAGTGCTCTTGTCTTAGCTGTGATCCCATTTTTATTCTTTCTCAGAGGATATGTCACAGGACTCTGAGGCTTCCCTATGCCTGCCCATGACCTCAGCCCCGGCCCCCACTCCCTCCAATGACAGCTGTTCCAGCTACACGGAGGCCCAGCACCTCAGCGTGGTGGGGATCATGTTCATAGCTCAGACCCTGCTTGGCGTGGGTGGAGTGCCCATTCAGCCCTTCGGCATCTCCTACATCGATGACTTTGCCCACCACAGCAACTCGCCCCTCTACCTTGGTGAGGACCCACCAACTCCTTGGGCTCTGAGGGTCAGGCCAATATCAGGTAGGAGAAAGAGAGGCCTGGGGTGGGGGCTGGGTGTTGAGTCCCTGACCTCCACCCCATCAGGCCAGTAAAGGTCCAGAGAAGCCCTGGAGAGTCCCCAGCTCTGAGAGTGGGAGTGGGCACTTCTTGCCCACTGAGGACTAGACAGGCCCCGAACTGCTGAGGAAAGCCAGGGCCAGAAGGTCCTAACCTAGGCTTTGTGTTGCAGGGATCCTCTTTGCAGTGACCATGATGGGGCCAGGCATGGCCTATGGGCTGGGCAGCCTCATGCTTCGCCTTTATGTGGACATTGACCGGATGCCAGAAGGTGAGTCTCAGTCATGAACATTTGTCCCCAGGAGTATACAGATGCTAGCTCACTGACTGCTGGTTGTATAGTTGACAGTACTCCCTCCTCAGAATGAGTGACAAGGGCACTGCCTTATGGGGGACCTAAGTTCAAACCCAGCCGCACCACTGACCTGTTACCCTCTCTGAGCTTCTGCCTCCTCATCCTTGAGGTCGTCTCTGTCCTATCTCCCAAGGCTGCAACCAGAATCCAGTGAGGTAGTGAAGAGAAACTGTAAAGTGCCATCTAATGAGAGCTGTGCTCGCTGTCACAAGCCTTTACCTTGTCACCTGCCCATCCACCTCCAGGCCACCACCCTGGCCCGCTATTGCTGTGGACAAGGAGGAGAACTGGCTCTCTTGGCCTGTGGGGAGCTCCCATATTTAATGGGGTACAAGTTTCAGGCAGAATAGAGAGGACAACGAAAGAATGAGCAGGACTCAGTGACTCATGTGTCACTTTGAGGGGGACAATGCCGGGGGACCTTAGGGAACCTTCTAGCTCTGATCACCTCAGAGTCTGAGAAATTGCTGGGGGCACCATTTGGGAAACAGTAGTCTCTGATCCAGCTAGAGGTCAGAGTGCACCAAGGATTGGGGCTCTAGCTTGGTCTGAGGTGGCAAGAGGGACGGGTGTTGGGGTTGCCACAGCTCTGGAGCTCTGGGGCAGGGAGGGGATAGAAGGGTATTCTTGTTAGAGCATGTCACTGTGGCTTCTCATGTCCCTGCTTATCACCAGCAGCTATGAGCTTCAGGTTGGCCTTCTGCCTACTGCTGCTCAGAAGTTCTCTACCTCCCCTGGAGATTTTCCAGCAGGTCCTAGAAGCCCTGGGTGACATGCACATGGCTGGTTGGATTTTCTCTAGCTCTTATCCATGGGTGCCTCAGCAAGGACGGGTCTGGGGATCTCTACAGCAGTCACTAGGATCAGTCATGCCCTGCCTCCCTTTCTTCTAGCCCCAAAGCCAGACCTGGGCTCTGGTTGCAACCCCTCTCCTCCCTGGGAGTCAGGGGTTACCTAGGTTTGCCAGATACACCTCTGCTCTGGAGGAAGAGGATGTGTTTTCTGACAGTGTGTGCATTCATCCTGGAAGACGAGGCAGCTCCACTGGCAGATGACACATTTCTGTGGACTGACATGCCACTTCCCAAGTCCCTCTTTCTTTATGGGGGATTTCATAAGGTGGGAGGATTTTGCCTGCTTCAGGCACAGACTGATGCTGTGAGCGGGGGAGTCGAGGAGCTGTGCGTGTGAACTCGCCACAGCCTGGCACCAAGGCAAGGCAGATAACAAGCAATGAACAAACCAAGTCCTGTGAATGCAAAAGCCACAGCTCTCCCAGACTGCTGGGTGCCAACTGGGTGCCCTGGCCCCTGCCCAGGAGCCGCTGAAGGCGAAGCACCTGGGGAAACAGCTGCACAACTGGTGGTTGCTGTTATCATGCATTTGCAGTTTTATAAATATCTGCAGATGCTGTGGATATTGAAGGGGGAGGTCCCCAACTCAGCCTGGGTTTAAAAAGTCCCAGGGCAGATTTGTGCACTGCAGCCAGCAGGTACATCAGGGATAATCCAATCCTAATTAAGCCTGGTGGGGAATCAAAACCATCCAGGGAACTTGTTAAAGGTGCACATTCCTCGGTCACCTTCCACCCCCCACCCCACTTCTTGGTCATTCCAAGTAGGACTTCTGGGAAGCCAAGTAGTTTTGACCAGCAGCCCCGGAATTTCATGTAGGCCTGAGTCCCAACCATTATTTAATATATTAATAATCAAAAAAGTAATGGTAATAGGAAGAGAAGGAAAAAGAAGAGGAGGAGCAAATATTTATATAATATATCTACTTTTCTAAGTACATGTATTTTTGGTAGATTTTTAAAAAAATTTAATTAAATTTTTCTTTTAGTTTTACATGTATTAGTTTCCATAATTCTCCAACAACCCTATGATAGGAAACAAAAAAGCTATTATCCTCAGCACTCCCCCTAAAACTACTAATATCTGTATGTCACCACAGGAAGAAACTGAGGCTCAAAGAAGTGAAATAACTTGCCCAAGGTCATAAGTAGTAATGGAATCCAGACCCAGTAATCCATTTCCAAAGTCCATGATCTTGACCACTGCACAGAAGAAGTGAAGAAGCTAAGGCCCATAAAGGGTCAAGGACTTGCCCAAGGTCACACAGGACATAATGGCAGAATCAAGACCAGGAGGCAGGTCTCCTGACTCTGAGCTGGCACTGACTTATTTCTCAAAAGCCAGACCCAGGGTGGTGACCTAGATGTGTCAGACCACCTGACCCCGATGTCTCCATGGTCTTCTCTTACAGGTGGTATCAACCTGACCTCAAAAGACCCCCGATGGGTGGGTGCCTGGTGGCTGGGCTTCCTCATCTCTGCTGGCATGGTGGCACTGGCTGCCAGCCCCTACTTCTTCTTCCCCAGGGAGATGCCTAAGGAGACGCATGAGCTTAGGTGCCGGCGAAAGTTCTTGGCAGATGCATCGTCACCTGTCAGCAAGGTAAGCCCCTGTGTCCCTGTCCTAGCCTAGGCTCCACCCTCCACTTATGTGTCTTCCTCTATAGCAGTGAACGTCCTCCCTCCGGGGCCCTGTGTGTCAAGCTTACCAAGATCCTTTCTGTCGGGGCACCTCCCCAGCCCCACAGCCAGTGCCATCAGCTCCTTCCATGGCTGAGGAGCTCTAGGCCCAGAGCTGGAAGTGACTTACCCAGGATCCAAGTTGGCAAGGGAGTGCCCAGGCCTGCCTGAGTCCACGTCTTTCTGAGCTGTTCACTTAGTTTTGTAAATTCTGAATGTTCTGTAGGAAGGCTAAGGACTGCCGGGCACAGAGGATGGGTCTGGGAGGATTTCCTGGAAGAGGAAGGACCTGAGCTGGATGTGAAGGATGGGTGGAAGCCCAGAAATGAGAGGGGCAGCCATTTAGGTGGAGGACAGAGAGGTTGGCTATAGAAGTGAACCTGACCTCTTTGGGGATAGTGAAGGGGACAAATGTGCACTGAGTGCCTCTTCTGGGCCAGGATCCAGACTGGACATTGGAGGTCAGTACACGGTCTCTACCCTTAAAGCGGGCATAATATGGCAAGGAGAAGACTCCTGGGTGAGGACCAGCAGTGGGCAGGATGCACAGGGACAGCCACCAAATGTCCTGCTGAGCTCTCAGAGCGGGTGGGCTTCTCAGAGGCCTAACTAGGTGCAGGGATTTGCCTAAGGTCACAAAGCTGGCTGAGAGGCAGGACACTGCGAGCCTTGGAGGGGAGAGACCATCCTGAGCCAGGGGACTCCACGTTTTCTAGTAACTCACAAAAAGCACAAGGTATAAAAGACAATAAGTTGACTCCAAATGAAAAAGAAAATGACAGAAGGAGGAGGAGGAGAAAGAAATGCTTTTTTCTTTTCTTTGCAATCCTGGGTTTCTTTGCAGTGCCGAGACGTTGAGCGTCTAGGCCAGCTCTCTACCACTGACCTACACCCCCAGCCCTTTTCGTTTTATTTATTTTTTCAGTACTGGGAAATCAACTAAGGGGATGTGACCACTAAGCTAGACCCTTCGCCCTTTTTATATTACTTTGAGTCAGGGTCTCACTAAGGTTGTCTAAGGTGGCCTTGAACTTGTAATCCTCCAGCCTTAGGCTCCTGAGTTGCTGGGATTACAGGAATGTGTCACCATGCCCAGCAAAAGAAATGCTTTTTAAAAGTTTAATTTTATGTCACTAATGTCAACTTTACCAATTCTTCTTTAACAATCACACTACATGTCGTTACATCCTGAAAATTTATGCAATAGATTTCCTCTTTTCCCAAGCATAGAAAGCAGTTGTTGAAAAATCACAATCATAAATTAAGTGAGCTACTTGTTGCTAAGTAATTCTAATTTTGAAGGGCAATTTTTAAAATCCTGTTGGATATTTTGCAGCAAGGAGAGTTCTGGTTCACGTGGCAAGTCGGCTGCTGCATGGGCCTCCTTAGAGCAAGGAAGGTTGGGCCAGGATGAAGGCCGGAAGTGTCTCTGCCTGGGGAGGCTGGGGTTTGAACCCAAGCCTGCCTGACTCCTGGCCCAGCTGCCCCACAGAACCTTCCCATCCCACCCAGGCTGGAGCAGAGGGTGTGGACACGGACCCAAGAAAACAGGCTGGAACAGCCAGCAGGGGCCAGAACAGTTTTTACTGGTGGCTTCAGGGGCAGCAGGTAGCCTGGAAGAAGTATAAGCAGAGGGTCCTCTGGTCCATCTCGGGTGCTGGGTAGATAGAGGGCTGTGGAGGACCAGGGGTGTGTGGAGGTCGGGTGGTGGGTGAGCAGCTGCGCAGTGGAGCAGGCAGGGAGCAGCGCTTTGGTAGTGAGGGGATGGGGCTGGATCCACGTGCTGCCTGGGAGTGGGACTGCCCAGATGTGGGTGCCGCTGTGCTGTGGAGGCCCCAGAGAGTGAGGCGTGGACTGGGTGCACTGTCTCAGAGACAGAAGCAGGTATGGGGAAGGACCAATTTCAGGGGAAGAAGACAACTGGGGACTTCACATTCTCCTTCCCGGTTCTGCCTAGCTCAGGGCCAAAGTTTGGAGGAAATGGAAATTGGGGAGGAGTTCCCAGAAGTGAGCGTGATCACAGAGGAGGATAAGAGGCTGGGTTGCTTGTGTCAGATACTCTTGAGTTGGAGCCTAAATTTGAAAGAGAACACTAGTGGGCCATGGGGTAGATAGGTGGAAGAAGCAAGGGGGCTGCCTGTGTGAGGCTGGGTCACATGTCAACAGTACGACCTTGAGCAACAAGCCACTTCCCAGTCTACACTGGTGTGTGAGGTGCCTGGAGCAACACTCCCTGTGCCTCAGATTCCGAGAATGTGCCAGTCCTGAGTCGGAGCTGCTGCGATTCCCAGAGTTGGGTTTTGAGAGCTGCGTGTGATGATGCTTTGAAACCCCGGCTCTCTGGCTCCCCAGCTCCCCGGCTGTGAACCTGTCTGGCTGTCTGCATTTATTCTGTCAGCACATCAGGGATGGGAATGGGGAGGGTAGGGGGTGAGAGGTTCTTAAAAAAGAACTGAAGGCCGAGAACATGATGATCTGCTTCCAGCAGCTCTCAGGCAATAAATATTGATGTGGGAGGAATCGTTCCTTGGCCTCCTTGAGGCTGTTTGCAGCCTGGTCGGGCTGTTTGCAGTAGCGCTGGGGGCCTGACCCACTAGGGCCACTGATGGGGAGGTGCATGGAGTGGGAGGATAGCCCCAAAGAGCAGAATTGGCTGCCATAAAATCCAGGTCCCCAGAAAGGAACATATATCTTCTGTAGGGAGAAGGAATGGGCAAGGGGAGAAAAAATTTCACTTGGAAATTCCTTCAACATCCCTTCCTAAGCTTAAGGTTCAGGGCCCCCTGTGTCCTTAGATGTAAATGCAGTTTTTAAAGGTATCCAGGAGATGGTGGTATATAAGGATTCTGTGACCCAGAGAGGGTCTCTGGCCTCAGTCTCCCAATCTGTATCCTGGGCAGTAGATTTTTCAAGGTCTGGTGGCTCTGACAGGTTCAATACTGTCTCCTCTGAGCATTTTTATAGGGAATTTGAGGGGTGACTCCTACACTCCCTGCCTCGAGGAGCTCTGTCGTAGTGAAGGACGGATGGGTGCAGAGAAATCAGGAATGCCGAAGTGCCAGCTCAGGTTTCTCCAGTGGCTGTGGCTATGACAGTGGTTCTTTGCCTAGGGGTAGGGCTCTGCAGAGTCTGTGGAACAAGATGGTCTCTTAGGGGCTCCAAGTTTTCTGTTCCCACGTGTGCCTGGGGTGGTGGTGTCCCTATTCAGCCAGTGCTCCTCCTCTGAGAACCTGCCCCTGAACCTGCCCCTGGAGCTGGCCCCTGGAGGGGCCAGGAGGGGGCCAGCCAGCTGCCCCCATTCTGTGAAGGATCCCAGCCTTGCTTGGCCTGTGAGCATCACTGGATTCCATGACTTTCTCTTGGGTCATCTTTACCAGGAGTTTATGTGTCTGTTATTTCTGGGAAACCTCTGAGAGTCTGGGATTCTAAAACCATTCAGATTTGAAGTTCTGTGTTTCTAATAGTTGGAGATTCACAGGTACTTGGGTTTCAGTATTCTGAGGTTCTGTACTGGAAATAGAATGATCAGGAATGGGGACAGGAGCCCGAGGTGGTGAAGGTTCTTAAAACACAAGACTTAGAGCTTTTCTATTAGGATCTGCCCACATTCTTCTGGGACTTTCATGTTCCTACTGCAGCCTTTGCAGGCCCTCCTGTCCCCTGAGCAGGTCCCCTCCCAGGCCAGCCTGGGGCCCTCTGTGTCCTTCCCACCCCTGGTAGTCCAGATTGTGTCTCCACCCTCACCCCACTGCTCTCTAAGGTCAATAGACTTGAGAGACGATCCAGTTTGGTGGCCCCTGCACCTGTCTGTATGAGGCCAGGTTCTGGCCCCAAAGGGGTAAGAGGCTCCCCTTCACCTAGCCCCCCCATACAGCTTCCTCATACACCAGGGATGGAGCCCTTTTTTTGGGGGGGGGGTCTGCTTATGTGGTTTTCAAACCACTCAAAACTTCACCATAAAGAAAATGAAGAGGGATGTCCCCAAGCAGAGCTAAGAGCCTTCTACTCTCTTACACACACACACACACACACACACACACACACTATGGCAGTTTTTTTCCCCTGTGCTGGGGCTTCACACTCCTAGGCAAGAGCTTTACCACTCAGCTGCACCTCCAGCCCACTACACCAGTCTTTAGAATGAGATTTCAATTAGGGAAAACATTCTATTACTAAAAACCGTTTGATCTAGTGTGATACCCCCATTGACAGAGAAGAAGACTGAGGTTAAAGAAGAGAGATAACAGGTAACTGATCAGACCCAAGAGGTACCGTGTGAGTTTTCTTGGCACCTGAGGCATCCTGCAGCTGCAAGCAGGAGGCAGCCCAGCAGGATTAGGTGCCCTGCATCATATCAGCCCAGCTCTGCTACTTACCAACTCTGAAATCTGTAAAATGAATATAACTTCAGTTCGGGGTTTTTGTAAGAATTAAATGAGGTAAAGTGTGAAGGTCAAATGGTTTAATGTCCAACATACAGGCTCAGAAAAACTGGAATGTAGCCAGGTGGGTACAGTGTGGAGGCACATGCCTATAATCCCAGCTACTCAGGAGTCTGAGGCAGGAGGATCAGGGTTCAAGGTCAGCCTGGGCAACTTAGCAAGATATGTCTCAAAACAAAAAGTAAAAAGCACCTTGAGCAAGTGGCACATGCCTGTAATACCAGCAGCTCAGGAGGCTGAGGTAGAAGGATCGCAAATTCAAAGCCAGCCTCAACAACTTAGTGAGGTCCTAAGCAAATTAGTGAGGCCCTATTTCAAAATGAAAGATGGGGGGTTTGGGATATAGCTCAGTTGGTAGAGTGCTTCCCTCACAAGCACAAGGCCTGGGGTTCAATCCCCAACATCACAAAATAAGAAATAAATAAATAAAAGGTGAAAAGGTCTTGGGTTGTAGCTCAGTGGTAAAGTACCCCCTGGGTTC